TCCCGTCAGACCTTTGTTCTGCTCTGCTCCCTTCACAGAAAGTAACCGTGCGTGAACACAGGGCTCAGACCCGGGGAGGCAGGGGACAAGGCTTCCCAATGCTGGCGCTTGCGAGAGCAAAACCCTCAGCTGAGCAGCTGAACATGTAACCAACCAGACTAAATTATAGCCACTTAATATTGCTAATGGAACGATGCTACTTAATAATTTAATACAAAGGAAGAGGCAGTTTTTCTTGTTGCTTAACACTATGGGCAAGGCAGAAAGCATTCACTTTAGGATTTCACTGATTTTCATTTGTCTCAGAGGCACTTTACACCATCCTGCAGCCCCCACCCCTCCCGTGCTAGCGAGCCATTTCTGGGCAAGCAGGGATGCAGAGCCAGCTTTGGGGGTTCGGGGGTCCTTGCAGCAAAGCCGAGGGGGAGAAGGCTCTGCCCAGGAAAATGCAAACCTGCGTCAGCAAAGACACCTCCCACAATTGCCCCCTCGGCCACCCGGCCACATCTGCCCACCCAGCTTTGCTTCATGTCCCTCTCTGGCCAAGACCACTTAGAATTTTGTCAGAAAGAGAAAGGGGAGGGTGTGGAGAGAGGGCTTTCAAGTAGGGACTTCTCCACCCATCCTGTCTCAACCGTTGTCTCACAAGGATACCCTCCATCTAGAACCTCTTCTCTCTACCCATGCATGCCCAGCATGCATGCACATGTGTGTACACACATGCACAAGCACACACAGAGACTGACTTCCCTAATCCTCCAGGCATCACCTCTTCCAGGAAGCCCCCCCTGACTCAACCCCTCCCCCCAGGTGGGTAGACAGTCTCTGAGCATCCCTCTCTGCTCTTCCCTCATCGTGTCCATCACATTGAGGTATTTCACCTCCTCCCCATTTTTCCAATGACTTCCTAAGATCACCACTGTGCCCCCAACTGCCAGCATAGCTCTGACACACAGAAAACACTTAGATATGGGTTGAATAGATTAACAAATGTAGGTGCCCTCGCTGAAGTGGGATCAGCCCTTCACTGAGGACAGCCTGTCCTTCTTTGCATACTCAGCCCGAAGACACAGCCGCCAACCAGGCTACCTGGCCCAGCACAACCGCATGCCTGCCTGCTGTTTGCCGCCTGGCCCCACTGCCCTCTCCCCTGCTCAGACGCCAGCCCACCCTCCACCCAGTGTTCCTGCAAGATGACCTTAGCTGACTCCCTCACTGGCTTTCTCCCTTTCCTCCTCCAGATCCCTCCTCAGGGGCTTCTCCCCAGATGCCAGAGAACTGTCGGCTAAAGAAACCAAGATACTGCTGGCCGCTGGAGACAAGGATGGGGACGGCAAGATCGGGGTTGACGGTGGGTAGCCATGACCCGGGGGCTGGTATGTTGTGGATCTTGGGATGTTTGGATGCTAAGTTTGAAGTGATGTGGGTCACAAGGAAGGGGAGATGAGGGGTGCCTTGCTCCCCAAGATAAGAAGGAAAAAGGCAATGTATTAGGTTTGAGAGCTCTGCCATAATCCAGGCAAAGAAAAACGGGTGTATTTCCCTAAATTTGAACAACCCAAAAGGAATAGGTTCTCTTTTCTTTTCTCCTGGATGGGGAACACAGGAGCATTTGGGATTTTTCGTGAACGTTGCCTTCACTTTTGCATGGATACTGGTCCAGGCTCTGCCCAAACATACTGTGTGACCTTGGGCAATGTCTCGCATTCTCTGGGCCTCTGCCTCCCATCTGTAGTGCCAGGAATCGAGGTCAGCAGATCCCCAAGGACCCTCTGCCTCCCACGTTCTCAAATTCCAGGGATGGAAACTCCTTATCTCCATCCTCCTCAGCATCTTGTCCTGGTGTCCTGTAACCTCACGTCTCAAACCCTGCTTGGGCTTCACTCAAATGCACCATCCCAGGGTTGTAGGAGAGCCAAGAAAAAAACAGTGGACCAGGAAGCAGCTGCGAATTCAGAAAGGGAATACCCAGCCCTCCCTTGCCTCTCAAGCTTTGGTTTCAGCCCAGGCGAGTGGCTGGCATCCCACTATCCCCCATCCTTCTCCAGTCGACTCTGCCCAGCATTCACGGAGCACAGCCCAGCGTTGCCCTCTCTTAGCATCATGGCATCCTTGGGAATCTCTCTATTCTTCAGGTGGGCAGATAGATGTCAAAGGTACTTAGTGTTGTCCAGAGAGCTAGGACACACTAGAGGAGCATGGATGTAGAACCGGGCTCAAATGAGTCTTTGCAGCATACTACGCCGCCATCTGCCCCTGTGATAGTCACGTCTGCTGGTCTCAGAGAAAACCATGCGTAAGTGCTTGGCCTCTGGGCTCAGGTTGCCTAGGTTCAAATCCCAGTCCTGCCATTCTCTAGCTGTGTGACCTTGGGCAGTTTATGTAACTACTCTGGGCCTCCTTTTTCTCATCTCTGAAATGAGGATAACGCAGCATTCTCATAGGGTTATCGTGAGGATTAGATGTGTTCATATGCAAAATGCTTAGAACAGTGTCTAGTGTAGCATAAATACTATATTCATGTCTGTTAACTAAATGTAAAAAAAAATAGGCACTGGGTGACATTCATCCTTTTATCCCCAGTATCTAGGCAATAACTGACACAAAGCAGGTGCTTGGCAAACATCTGCTGCCTAGGTATAAAGTTCAGATACTTGTGCTCGGCCCCCTCTCTGGCCCTCGCCAGCTGTGACCTTGAACACACCCCCTCGGCACACCTAGGTCCCCTTGCCTGGCAAACGGGTTGCACTAGCTTTTCTTAAGACCCATTTGGGCTTGTTGTGAAATTTAAGTGTCTGTGGACACAAAATTGCTTTGGGAAGGGAACAAGGATTCTGCAAGTGGGTGTAAACCGATTAAAGTTTGTTCTTTTGCCAGAAAGAAGAATGGAGAATATTTGCTGAGGTCAGATACAGGGAGTTCCCTGGCCATCTGATGCCAGCTGCCATTATTATGGCAGGGAAGGAGGGAGGTGGCTTTACTGAGTGGAAATCATTGGAGAGGACTAGGGGATTGGCTGGTGTTTCTGGTGGGCAGCGGACCCTCCCCCA